AGGCCGAGTTTCATGCTTTTACTAGGGAAAAAAAAATATATATATATATATACATGTCTAAATATGCTGTGAATAAAGGAAGGGACTACATCTAGAAACTAGGTATCAAACAATATTTGCGCAATAAATGCTTAGGTTTACAAGGAACAAAATGTGCCTTTTAATCCCTCGGCAATAATATGCTTTGTAGCAACAGTGGGTTCAGCTACTGAGGGAAAAGCTCTTGGCGTTTTCAACTGCGCGTTGAAGCTGGGCAGCGCTGGGTTTCAGTTCCCCGAGCATTAGGCTGCTCACAGAAACATGCTAACATATGTGTTTGAAGTTCGCAGTACTAAGAGTGATAAAGTGTCTGAACAAAGACTTAAAAGTGACTTGTTACTGGTACAGGTAACGGTGACCTAACATTTAAATACGAAATTAAAATTGGGAGGAAGGTGAGAGTCACCTTGTGTGCTCACAGTTGTTGTGACTTTGGAAATATTTTAGAAGAGCTTGCAAACACAGAACCCCTGCATTAAATTTAATCTTTTGCTCCTTTTACTATAAAGTTTAAACTCTGTAGATCTCATTGATGTGAAATCTACATTGTTTTTATGGAAGAGAAATATTTGATTTTCACAAAATAGAGTTACTAATTTTACCTTTGTTTTTAAGAAAGGTTGTATGGCTGAGCGAGGACTGGCTGTCCAGAATATTGCTGATTGTCACTGAGGATTGCAGAGCATGTCCAAAGAAATGCAGGAGCTGCAGAAGCACTGGCACTCCATGGTACAGTCCATCCACAGTAACTCAAATGTGGGTTCTGGATTAAATTTTATATAACACATTTATAAAGATACTCTTGGAATATCCTATCCCACTTTATTTAAATGCAATTTCATTTTTTTTTTGAAAAAGAATTATATCTTTAACAATCAAGAGGGAGGCCTCCGTTCTGTTTCTGTGTTTTACTGGTAAATCCATTTTACTCAGAAGTGGCACTTTAGTGAAATGGCTGTTCTGTTATAGAAATAACTAGACCTACTATACTTTTTTCCTATGGGAAATCCTGCCCTTAAGAAGCAGCAGTATGACTGCCTCTATAGAAAGGATTGTCTCGTCTATTTGTAACATTATAAATAAATTCTTACCACTTCCTGTGATACAGACATGACTGTAGTGTTGTTATGCTTGATAGAGGAACAGGTTGGAGGTACTAGTGAGACATGAGAACAGGGAAGTTCATCCTTTTTCTTTAAGTGTAACAGTACTTCTTGTTTTCTACACAGTTCTCAGAGCAAAAATAATAGCTGTTGAAACCTCACTGAAATCTGTGTAATTAAAGAGGGGGTTACTTTGTGCAAGAATAGGGCTGGGAGGTTGGTAAGAAACATGGATGTTTGGGTAGGAGTGTATTTACTATGCAGTTACCTACCTTTTGCAGTAACTCCTTAGGCTTGGGAAATTTAAAGGCAATGATTACTTTCCTTTAATTCAAGCTCCATATTTATGGAAAGAGGAGCACCCGTAGTTTTCAGTGAAGTAGCTGAGACATTTTAAAGTTATCTATGACAAGAGATAAAAATCTAAAATATTTTTTTCATCAACAGGTTGTTGCATTTATGAACTCTCGTTTTGGCCAATACTTAGATGACCATCCTTTTGTTGCCTTATCACTCCTGATGTTTGTTGCAGTGTCTGCTATTCCTATTGCATTTTTTCTGATTTTTGTTGTTTCAACAGCCATAATGGCCTGCATTGGCGTGATAATTATGGAAGGTAGTGTATGCATTATTTATTTCCCTTTTAGGGCATGACATCCTTTCATTCCCCCTCCTCCTCCCTTCTAGAGTCCTTGAAGAACTAGCATTTTTAATTGTAGTCCTCCACTTCCAACAATAGTCATAGTCTTAACACAAGACTAGTAATCTAATCAACTGCAACCTACTCAGGGGAAATCCTATTTCTCTTTAATATCAACCACCTGGATAAAGCTAAACCAGTTATTTTAGCCATGCATAGCTTTCCTTTCTGTCCTAGGGAATGTTCTTTTTGAAATACTTTTACAAGTTTCCTATGTTATTACACAGAATATATCAGGTATTAAAGCTTTTTGAAGTACATTTGCTTGCAAATATTCTGTATATGCTTGCTTAAGTCAGCTCTGACCATTGCTTGCCAAGGGCTACCTGAGAGAGAAATAGGACAGATTTGAGCAAAACAATATAGTTAGGAAGTACAAGTTATTTTCCTTGATAGCTGTAGCTATGATCACTCTAGGCCTGTAACATGTGGAGTTTAAGAGAACATGTTGGTCTAATTCAGACAGCTCTTCCTTTCTCACCACATAAATAATGAAAGTGTTAAAAGGAGTGCTTCTCCTTTTAAGAGCAGTCTGGGGATTTCCTATAGACTAAGGCCCTTGACTGTTACAGGGGTCAACTAGTTGACCATAATAGGTAGTTTTCCATAATGGTTTGAATTTAGGATTGTGGTTAAAGGAGAGAGAAAAAAAAAAAAAAGCACACCACCACCACATACACTATATCCTTCTAACAGACACATATGTAAGCTGTTTAAATAACAAAGGTGATTCTCTCTTACTAGGTGTTGTAATATCAATAGGTGGCATAGCCCTCCTGTGTGTGCTGTGTGGGCTAGGGGCACTTTCACTGGGAGTTTCTGGAGTATTGAGCGCTTGTTACGTTGTTCTTTCAACCCTGATCAACTACTGGTATGCTCAGAAGTAAGTAATAACATCTTAATCCATTCTGTGATTTCAAACTAACTGTACTGTTAAAGCAACGACTGTTTACCAGTGACAACTACTTGGAGATAATTTAAGTTCTTTAATGCTAGAACATTAGATGTACGATTTCTAACACGGTATAGTATCAGTAAGACTGTCTCCTTCAGAATAAATCCTGAAATTAAGACATTATGCACTAGGGTTCCTTGTGCATGTTGCAGTGCCTAACTATCCTGGCTTACATGCATTTGGAGAGCAGCAGGGCACCATAAGCAAAGCTTTGGAATAAGTACATAGGTAGTTAAAAGAGACACTCTAGAAAAAATTAGGTTTTGGAAAACAAGTTCATATGAAGTCCAGCATTAGTATGTTTTCCAGCTGTGTTTTAAAAGACTTTCCTTACTTCATGTGCATAAGCTTGCTTTATTTGCTGACTAGTTGCAGTCTGCCACTATCTCTGCTCCCAGAACTTGAGGCTTAGAGGCCCGTTTCAATCACCATTGCCTACTCAGTTTTGCTAAGACCTGAGCTAAGGCCCTACAGGCTGTGCTGGAGTGCCACCTGCTGCCCACTTAAAGTAGTAGTGATGAAATGGAGAACCGTAGGCATTTAAGGGTAGGGAGGGACAAGAAAAAAATCCCACAATCCAGGTGCTCTTTCTTAGTACTTACTTTTCCACAGAATTGATCCCTCTCCAGAGCCATGCTTTTACATAGTTCAAGGGACACTACATTGCCTGTGGAGACCATGATATCTTCAGGAAAAGACAATGTGGTAGAGGCTGAGTATGCCTGGGTTTGTTTCAGTGCTCCCTGCCCCTCTTCCTGAGGGTGCTGCTGCCTATATTATTGGCAACATACCAGACTTCTCCCTGCTAACATTATAGATAATCCAGCCTACAAACCAATTGCATTTGCTGAAAACTTTTATGTTAAATGAACAAGATTTGGTAGATGTATACATTCCCCTGTCCTGAGAAGCTCTAGTGGACGAGCAGTTCCAGAAGTCCCCCACTTAACTCTTCCCACAGAATGGAAAGTAATATGACATAAGATAATCTTGCAGAAGAATAGACTATTAAAAAAAATAATATTTTTTTTTAATTACAGGAGTCAAATAAAGAAGCAGGAAGCCTTGGGAACTTCACTACACAAGAGTCCTTCTATTTTGGATCTCTCTGCCAATAATGGAAAGAATGAATAAGGGAAATTCTTCCCCTTCCTGTGATGGGCACTTAAATTCACCATTCTGACCTTTACAGTGTAATTGTTTACTCTGAGCATTCAAGCTCTGTGCATTGCTTATGCAATATAAAAAGTTTTTTTAGTTTGCTATTGTAAGACTAAGTAAAAATAACCCTTAAGCAGTACATTGTGGTATCAAATCTATGTGCATGATGAAATGTTCCACAGAATTTGTTAGTAAGTCAAGGATAAGAATCCATTTACTACAGGAGCTTTAGCTATATTGTCTATCAAGATTTGTATGCAGCAGTTGGCTGTTTTGGTACATGGTAAGTGTCAAAGCTCACCAACACTGGAAAGGTCTTTTGGAGGTTGAGCAGTATTTCTAAGCCTTAATGTTCTGTTAAAAGAAGTATACCATGATGATTCCTTGTAATAGCAGAAGAGGAAAATGGAGTTTTACATAACTCAGTATAATCTTCCATACACCTTTTAAACAGTGCATTGTTCTGAAGGGATGTTTTCTTCATTTTCCTCATTGCCTCATCCCCATCCATGGTATGGGATTAGGTCTTGTATTTTGGCATAGTGGTTGGGTTGTTTAAAATGTCTTTTTTGCATCTTGGTTTAACTTTGTATATGTATTTTGTTTAAACTTTGATTTTTTTCAAATGCTCTACTATTTAAGTATTAAGTACCCAGCTTATTAAAGTGTTGTTTGTTTAAGCAGGTTGTCTTGTTATTCTAGCCTCAGGTTTTCTAGATCTACTTCTAGAAAGGCTGTACCTGAATACTTGCAGAGGTAGGAACAGTTATGCCTTCAATCTAAGAGCTTACCAGTTGTTTTCCTCATACCAATTAGTCTGCACTTAAGTCATTAATATGACCCAACATTACAAAGGTACTATCTCCTTTGTTTCCTTGAGAATATATCCCTTGTTCTTTTCCTATGCTATCAGATAGCCTAAAATGAACACTTGGAAGCATTCCAGAGTTATAAAAGTGAACTGAAAAGGAAAAGTGCTTGTCCTGAGGGAAGTAAAGGTGCTGTGTACCAGCTATGCTAGCACTTACTAGGCATAGCCAGAAGACACCAACTTTCCCCTGTGCTTGTATGTGCAGCTAGTACCTCCTCACTTTTTCAACAGTCCTGGATCAGAGACTTGAACCAGTGGGTTCAGTGTTATCTATAGAAGCAGTGTAGTACAACAGCCTCTAAGCGACCATAAGTTAATGCAAAAGCAGCATTCACATTTATCTCTATGCTCTGTGCAGGCTAAGTACCTTGCTAACCCTCACGTGGATACCTGAAAATCCATGGTATTTACTTCCTCAGCTACATTGCAGTTCCCTTCAGATTATATTCATTTAAATGTGAAAAACATTCCTTTAGAAGAGAGGCAGTATTGCAGTGAGGCAATACACACCTTTCAGCACTTTTAAAGCCCATTTTTGGGGAAGAGAGAAGGACAAAAAAGTATCTTCTTAAATGCCAGTAGAACTATTGCACCTTAGGGAGTAGGTTACAAACACTTGCATTTGCACTCCACT